GGTCTGCTTTTACACTTCTTCACGATTTTTTCAAAGTCTGAAAATGAAATAAATGAAGTTGATGAAATGCTGAAAGTTTTTGCATAGCAATATTAAAATTCTAGCTTTCGGTTTAATTTTTCATATTTTGACAATCAAATAAATCCAAAGGGTATTTGCGGAAACTGCTTGCTTCGTCTTTTGGGTTCTGGCTGAATGCGGGGCACAGAGCTTTACACATGTAGACAAACTACTTGCATACCTGGTGGCTGTTCAAATGTGACCATCACATTCGACTCTTCTCCAAAAAGCATGCTCTCCACCTCTTCCCCGCTGGCTATCTCCATGAATGACATAAATCCATCCTTTGTRGTTTTATCTGATAATCCCATTACATGCACYTTTCGTGGGTCCTTTGGTAGGACTTTAGGGATTTCTTTGAGTGTTAAGTTTAGTTGAACGTTATCAAGCTGGAGTGTCGTTTTTTCAGCTACACGCTCAGCATCTGCGTTAATAAATCTATATCAGATATGACAATGCGATATTTTACTTGAACAAAGCAGGTAGTAGTGGCGGGGAGGGGCGTGTTACTAATTGACTGATGCCAAAAGAGTTGAAAAAATAAGTGAATTTAACTGTTTATCTGTAGTATGTTTTATTTGATCATCTCTTTTCTAAGTTGTCTTTAGTTGTTTTTTTTTTTTTTTTTTTGCGGAAAAAAATTATGTATATCTCCCACAGGACGACAAACCTTCAGCATCACAAAAGGTAATGTCAGCAATTCCTTCATCTTGATTGTACTGAATGTCCTCTATCTCTCCCCCTCCTGATCGACGTTTATTCTCAAAGAAATTCAGCAAAGCATCTTTGGTTGTTTTRGSTGAAATASMCTTAACGCAAACAACACGTGATCTTTCCTCTGTTTCTGKCTCTTGTGAWGATTTAKTCGTGATMTTCTTGGGTGTGTTAGGCTTTATTCTTGTTACTGTTAATGACTGGCCATCTAAGTTGTGTTTACCCCATTCGAGTACTCTTGTAGCAACTTTTCAGTAAAAGAAAAACAAACAATACTGGTTTAAGGAGTTATAGACCCAACCTCAATCATCATCATCATCATCATCATGGCGGCCTCAGCCGAGCCTCACGTCTGGAAGACCAATCCTGGCGGTTGAAAATACATGCGGAAAGCTCGGCTGAGGTGGTCGCGCCCGTGTCCTCCTTGAGGGTGTCCACAAAGGTTGTGGCTGGCCTTCCAGGCCTAAACCTCAATCAAGTAAAACAAAATCACGTAAAATAGAATTACAACGGTCGATGAATCATCGCAGTCTTCTTTCTATCGATTGGTCCCGGATAATTTATTCCAATTTTGCTCATTGCTCGGACTTTTTACTCTTACGCGTGAGTACATCTATCCTTTTACGTCAATTCTATATTAAAGAATCGTTTAAAAATATAAAAATAGGTACTTACTTTCAGGGGATTCAAAAGTAACAGTAGCTTGATTTCCATCCAACGTGATGTCTTTCACATCTCCGCCGCTTGATCGTCTTGTGTTCTCAAAATAATTTTGTAATGCATCTTTCGTAGTTTTTTCAGAAATACCTCGAACTAAAACACTCAAGGTCTGCAAAAATGAATTGACATTATAATTAAATATATTTATTAATCCTAAATAGGTTCGTGTCCAATAATACTATAATAAGTATGAGGACTCCATGTACTGTCCAATTAAGAAATAATTAGACTCGAAAAATTCTTCTGACAAACAAATAGGACTCGGCCTTCGACCTCGTCCAATTTTGGGAGTCCTGGTAATTTTCCTCCAATTTCATTGGACAGCATGGAGTCCTATTATATGTAATATTCAATCATTTTTCTAAGCATAAAATTAACGCGACTTTATATACCACATACCCAGTCGCTGTCTGTTTTTCTATGGCTTGACATTTCAACTGTCAATTTGCACCCTTTCAAGTTGTGCTTCCTTGTAGCAACAATTCTGGCAACTATACAATTAGATACAATTCTCACTTAGCTTTATTCATCGCTTGAGTATTATTTTTGTGCAGTGTGAAGATAGACATAGAGATATCAGTGGCGGATCCAGGATTTTTCAAGGGGGATTCCACTTTGTATTCGCATTTTCCTAAAACAAACTTTTTTACTGTGCCTCGAACTATAGCAAATGTAACGTGAATGTAGTTATAGGTAGCGCATCAATAGCCGACTTGCGAATTACGCATCAATAGTCACATACAAAGGAATCAAGACGAGGCGCCGTGCTTTTTTGTGAAAAATCTATTGTCTTTAGCACGGCGCCTCGTCTTGATTCCTTTGTATGTGACTATTGATGCGTAATTCGCAAGTCGGCTATTGATGCGCTACCTATAACTACATTCACGTTACATTTGCTATAGTTCGAGGCACAGTAAAAAAGTTTGTTTTAGGAAAATGCGAATACAAAGTGGAATCCCCCTTGAAAAATCCTGGATCCGCCACTGATATCTCTATGTCTATCTTCACACTGCACAAAAATAATACTCAAGCGATGAATAAAGCTAAGTGAGAATTGTATCTAATTGTATAGTTGCCAGAATTGTTGCTACAAGGAAGCACAACTTGAAAGGGTGCAAATTGACAGTTGAAATGTCAAGCCATAGAAAAACAGACAGCGACTGGGTATGTGGTATATAAAGTCGCGTTAATTTTATGCTTAGAAAAATGATTGAATATTACATATAATAGGACTCC